ACCAGGTGGCCCACGGCATGGAGTGGGCAGAACCCATTATCAGGTACATTGAGAACGAAGAGCTACCCCAGGACCGCATGGAAGCACGAAAGATTAGGATGCGTGCGGCAAAATATTCCCTCATTGATGGGGTTCTTTACAAGAAGGGATTTTCTCTACCCTACTTGCGTTGTGTCTCCATTGATGAGGCAAATTACATTCTAAAAGACATACATGAAGGCCTTTGTGGAAATCATGCTGGGGACAGATCACTAGTGCATAAAGCTATCCGACAAGGATACTTTTGGCCTACTATGAGGACAGATGCACTTGAGTTTGTGAAGAAATATGACAAGTGTCAAAGATTCGCCAATGTCCCAAAACAACCAGCAGAAAAGTTAACCCCTCTTACAGGGCCGTGGCCTTTTGCCCAATGGGGGACGGACCTCATCGGCCCCTTACCCCAAGGGAAGGGACAAACTAAATACGCAATTGTGGCTATCAATTATTTCACCAAATGGGTAGAAGTTGAGCCATTAGCTCATATTGGAGCGAAAAAAGTAAAAAAGTTTTTCTGGAAGACAATAATCTGCAAGTTCGGAGCACCAAGGGTAATTGTGACCGATAATGGGAAGCAGTTTGAAAGTAAGCAGTTTGGGATCAAAGTTCATTTCTCCTCTTCTGCCCATCCCCAAGCCAGTGGGCAAATTGAGGTCACGAATAGGACAATATTGAAGATGATCAAGACGCGCCTAGAAAAGGCCAAGGGCTTGTGGCCTGAACAACTACCCGGAGTTTTATGGGCCTATTGCACTACCGTAAGAACCCCCACTGGGGAGACCCCTTTTGGGGTAGCTTTTGGAAGTGAGGCTGTGATCCCGATAGAAACAAAGGTTGCTACCTTCAGAACCAAGTATTTTGAACCTCAACAGAACGGGGTGGAACTACGATTAAACCTAGACCTGGTAGAAGAGAAAAGGGAGCAGGCCCAGGTCAAGGTTGCGGCTTACCAGCGGATGATATCCAAGTACTACAATGCCCGGGTCAAGCTAAGGAGGTTCGAGCTAGGAGACCTGGTGCTTCGCGAGGTTACCCCAGCTACTAAGGAAAAGGGGGAAGGAAAGTTAGCTCCCAATTGGGAGGGCCCTTATCGAGTAACCAAAAGCAACAGACCGGGGGCATACTGGTTAGAGTCACTTGGTGGGAGCCAGCTTCCCCACCCGTGGAATACAGAACATTTGAGAAAATATTACCAGTAGGTACTCATGCCAGGCTGTGTTTTATTTTATTATCTCACTTTTAAAAGTGATAGAATGTTTTTAGCTTCAATAAAGCAGACCAGTGTGTAACGGATGCTAATATTCGACTATCGATTATTATTTTCAATAGGTCTTTAATAAAATGGTTATTCGTATTTATTGCACGTGTTTCTACTGAATTTTATAAGTCACACAAGGACTAGTGACACATTAAGTCCACTTTTTTATTAAAAGAAATAAGTGACTTTCCCTTACTAAAGGGACGAGCTGGGTGAAGTTCATAAAAATATGTTCCTTCGGAAGAAGGACGGGCTGAGTGAAGCCTGGGAAAGTAAAATGAGTTCTGTATAGGAAACAACAAGTATGAAACAATACCATGAAAGACAAAAATAGAGCAACTATTCTCTGGATTCAGAGATATTCTGAAAAGTTCTAAAGGAACAACATACTGAGAAATCAAAAAACCTAATATATATATATGACTAATACTATGGAATTCAATCTTCCTCTTCGCTCTCACTTAGAACGTCATACATAGAAAAGTCTATGTCTGGACGATCTTTGCCGACAAGAGCTTTGAACCGGTCAAAACCATCACAGCAAGCCTTGCCTATGAGCACCTTGAATTCATCAGAATTTTTAAAACTCTCCACGGCAGCTAGTTTCTCGAGTTCCAGCTTATCAGAGTATTCTTTGGAGCAATTTGAGAAGGAGCTATTTTCAGATGAGAAAGAATTTCTTCTACAAATGGATGAATCGGAAAACGCAAACCCGGAGCAAAAGTCGACTCGAAAAAACATACCTCACCCAAACGAATAGAAGAACATCTATCTTTTGGTTTGGGTTTGTGAAGACGAATAGATGAAGGAATGGAATATTTAACTCTACAATTCTGTAAATTCTCATCCTTAATTAAGGATTCTCCTTCACGAGGAGGTTGCTTGGAAAAAGCAGTCCTTGGTCTTGAGGAGTAATCAACACCAGATTCATCAGCATAGTCAGGATCGAGTTCTTCAACACTTTCAGAGGTTGAGTCCTCGGATTGAGATTCAGTATTCAAGTTATTTTTCTGCATGAACATAATAAGGTATCGGATATCGCAAAAATAGCGAAACCACTTTGGAATTACACCGATAACCCGGTAGAGACAACTTGACCCAATTACGTATCTACAACGATCCACAATAAACTCACAGTTAGGATCCAGCTTAGAGGATTTCAGACCAAAAAGAAAAGGAAGGTAAATAAATAAATATATTTATTTATTTATTTATAGGAAAGAAAATTCTTTTTCAAGTAACAGTGAAGTTCTTGTAAAGGAGTCCTACTACAATATGGAAAGGGCCTGTAGTAAAAAGGAAACAAATGGAATATAGAAAGTATTTCCTTGGTCCACCATGTACCCGGAAATAGGGGGCAACTGATAAGGAAAAATCCCTAGCCTATCTTGACTTAACGAAAAAGGTAATTAAATATTGACCGGCCACCAGATTTCTCCAACTCTCAGACGATAATATCTCGTTATTAAGGATAACCATTTCTATTAGATAAGAATGATGACAAATTGTATCTAGGATAGGATTTGTCATGGGGTAAGTTCAAATCTTATCAAGGATAAGATTTCCACGAGATAGGCTCCATGGGCTAAGGACGATGAAATTCCCTTATCAAGAATAAGGGAAGTGACTATAAATACAAAGACGACTCGGGAACAAGGTACACAAAAAAAAAACTCCTACTAAGCGAATTACGATTAAAATTCTCTATCGAGAATCCTTACTAACTTGATCGTCGGAGGGTCAACGGCCGGCACCACACCGATGTTTGACTTTGCCATCCTTATTTTGCAGGAAACAGTGTCGTACTAGACCGCGGCGAATTTCAACCTCAACAGCAGTAGTTTTCTTTTGGAGTTGCTTGTGATCTTGCTCTTGATTGGAACCACTAGGTTCTAAGCACCTTGGAGGCTCAGATCAATTGCTTCCAGTAAACTACAAAAAGTGCATTCAATTTTCAGATAATGATAAGAGTAATAGATCCAAAAACAAACCCAAATTAAAGATCAAATTCAAAATACAGAGATATGAGATTCGATTTATGAAGGCCATAAAATGAGGAGAGATAGATGTTGAAGGACGAAGACTTAGGGGTAGTTTTGTAATTTTATAATAATATTTATAAGTTTTAAATTTAACAATTAACTAAGGGCAATTTTGTCATTTTATACCAATTTGGAGGCAACTTCATTAGTTCATGAGAGTGTTTAATTTTCATAAGGATTTTTTTGGACAAAAATAATAGTACAGGGTATTTTGTAATTTTTCCCTGTATATAAAGCAGAACACAATCATTGTCGGTTAACATTTAATCTCATGCAATAATAAAACTCAAATATATGATCCTGCCCACATTTTTTTATTCACTCAATAGTAAATATATAATATAGCACTACGTTAATTAGCAGAAAAGATTCTAGTTCATTGATGAATCAAGTGCAGTGTCACAAGTGTAAATAGCATGCATTTTTCATTTCCCAAAAGGTTCAATTGAAGAGGTAATTACAGAATAGCCCACAAGGGGAGACCCAAAACGTTTACAGTTCTTTGAGACCCAAGGGCTTAAGCCCGGACAATTGAGAAGGACATGGCTCAAATCTTAAAGGCCGAAACCTGTATCTCCTTTTAAATTGCCATTAGTAACGGCTATTGAAACAGAAGTTTTTATTTATTTATTTATTTTTCAAAATTTAATTTTTGTAAATAATTGTGTAGTAGAAGAAAAAAATTTACAAATATTCTTGTGGCATATAATTAATTTGGCACGAGTGATCCGGAAAATCGAATATTTTCTTACTAGATGTTCACCCTTCTTACTTCTAAATTCACCCTAACTCGATTCCTCTTTGAGGGAAAATCAATATCAATCTAGTGACATGAAATGGTGGAGATTAGTACATTGCTAATAAATTGAATGACCTTTATCGACCCTGGTTTTGTTTTTCTTGTTTTGTCATTGATAAGAAACTCACACACACTTACACACACCCATTTTACTCCTTTGAAGAGTCAAACCCTTACTAAATTATTTTGGAAGTAGAGGGGATACTATTGGGCTACAAGGCCCTGGTACCGTCTCCGTGTTTGGGGGAGATGATTTTGGCTCGTATAATTGGTAAATCAATGACATCTCAACACTAAAATAATTTTATGGCATATATTAATTAAATTAATCTTCAAGCCTAAATTTTCAACAAAGATCGATGTGATAGACTGTGGCTCAATTTTCTCATTTGTCAGTTTTTGACTAAAAAAATAATTTAAATTAAATAAATAGGTAAAAAAAATGAAAATCCACCTCTTGAATTGATATACACCACAAGAAGTTGAGTGACCTATAATTGTCACAAAATCCGTATTCAAGTATAAAACTCTAAATGATTTTGAATACGTTTTTACTTTTTATAATTTTTCTAAAAAGTAATGATACTCATGATGACTCGACTCGAGAGATGGCATAAACCTTACACCCCTCTCCTAGCGTCACCTGGGAGTTCGGATTTTTTTCAACTCTTTAAACGTTAAAATACATTATTATATGTGTTATATATATATATATATATGTTAGACACCACCCAAATAGCTAAATATACATTAATTTTTGTTAGTTTGCTACTTAGCATGCCAATTCAAGAAATAAATGCGAAACCCTAAATTAGAGATATATACAAACAAACTGAAAACCTAATATGTAGCACGTTATGCATACATATGAAACACACGTGTATTTTGCCCATTAGCAGACAACAACAATACACTCCAAACTTGCACTTATTTACAACCTCCCACCAAAATCCACTCGAGAGGAACAATATATATGTGTTCACTCTTATTACACTTCCAAGTCTTTTCCCAGCTTTCTCAAAAGTTGAAAACAAATACAACAATACAATCGACAACAATATCATTAGTGACAAATGACAACTACAACACGCGTACACAGATTACTTGAACCTACACAAACAAACACTGCAAATTTCAAAAGAAATCCAAAGACACTTTCCGCAGCTACTAGATCGATCACAATCAAGAGAGACACAAATACAGAAATACCTAAGACCTTTTTTTTCTTTTTTTGGGTCCATCCACAGTCAGGAAACATGTTAACCAGATCTTTCAGATCTTTATTCCTTTCCTTTCCATTCTTTTCCTTTCCTTCCAAATTACTGTCAATGTCGGCGTTCCGGTGTCCAGTGTGGTGCATAGGGGCTAAAATGCGCCGAGACCATTCTCGAGTCGAGCAGTTCTGTGATGGGTGTGAAGTTCACACACCTTGGGACCTTGTACTGATTGATAGAAGCACCCCTAGAGATGGCATAGTCCATGAGCTCCTCAAATGTGCCATTTTTCACAACCCTAATCTCCAGCGGTCCAATTGAGTTGTCCGCGACTCGGCCTTGCCGGTACACCGAGTTCAGCGATTCTTCCATAGCTAGGCAGCATTGCTCCAACACCTCGTGGCTCGGTGAATTAGCTGGATCTTTAATCATCAGCTCCCAATAGATCACATAGTGTCCCGGGATGGTTTTAGTATCACCATAGCTAGTGTACTCAACTATGCTAGTATTGAATTCACGCAAAAGTAGAGAAGCATTGTCAATGGCCTTTTGCAGCTCGGACTCGTCAGTTTTATCCGAGTCAATGCTCAGCAACACGTTCTTCCTCCTTATGAACTTGAACTGTGGGGCTGCGTTGTGGAATCCGGTGACAAGGAGGATGTCACCGACTCTGTACCGGCACAGACCAGAGTAGGTGCTGATCACGAGCTCGTATTCTTTCCCCACTTCAACGTCGGCAAGGTCAACGAGCCGGGGAGGCGAATCACGGGACGGAGGGGGAGCTGAGGGGTCATAAGGGAGGAACTCGAAGTAGGCCATGTTTGGCATGATGGTGTAAGAAACTTCAGAGGGCTTAACCATTGGTTTTAGGTTAAGCCCAAAATAGCACTCAGAAGAAGCATACATAGTGCAAGCTTGTGGTAAGCCATTGCTATAGTAATCCAATGTGGGAATGTACTGAGCCATTGCTCCGGTGACGATAACGTCGAGGTACTTAGTGTTTGGCCAAATTCTTACTATAATGCCCTCCCAATTCTCACCTTCACACTCCTTGGTGATGAACTTAGCAAGTTCTTGATTGGGTTTGAGGATGTTGGAGATGCATTCCCGGACCGAAGGGTCAGTCACCCTAGGGTTTAGGGTCCCGGATTCAATGTCGTCAGCCAGTTGCTTCCAGTTGAGCTGAAGGAACCGGATGGCGCGGAGTAGGCCTGAGGCGAACACAGCACCAACTCGGAGGACTTCTTCGCGCATGAGAAGGCCACAGAGCATCTGAGAGTACATGCTCTGGAAAGAGTCAACGCAGAGAATGGTCTCATTAGGGCTAGTGTAGACCATGTAAGGGTCATATGGCCTGGTCTTGAAATGGTCACTCTTGTAGTAACTGGTTAGGACCGGCCGCGCAACTAGGCCGCTTGGAGTCTTGCTCTCTGCCTTCACAAATAGGAAATATAGACCCTTCCCTTTGTCCAGACCAGGTACATAACTGCAGTCATATATATATTACTCATGATTAATTTAATCATCAAATAGGCTCTATATATATTTTTTTAGGTAATTAGTAGTAAAATGAAAAGATTAAACAAAGGCAGGTCAACTTACAAGGTTTTTTTTTAAATTTAAAAAAAGACACATATCTATTTTAAAAAAAACCTTACAAAATTTATCACAGGCATGAAAAGGGTGTGTAGATTAGATGGGAGTCAAGTTATAAGTAACATAATGTGCACTACTGAAATTAAATCTTACAGATTCATCACAGGCATGAGGAGGCTGTATAGTTTCTGTCTTCTATCCAACTCTTCATGAATTGTTGGCATGAGCTTTCTTTCACCAGCTGATGTTCCAGAACTGCAGATGATCAAAACTCCATAATCAACTCATGCAAAGCACATTTATACATATTGATATATATACACATATATACATATTAGTATATCCTTGGACTAAACATTTAAAACATTGCAAGCTGGAAAACTAAAAATACTCTCAACATGACTATAACTTCAGTGATATATTTTAACCACCATTTGCTCTAATTTTCTTTTTCTTAGTTTCCTTCATGTGTGACCAATTAAATTCAGTCTGAAGCCTGTATGAACTAATTAAGAACTATAACTATCATACCCCTCAAAAAATAAAAATAAAATAAAATAAAAAATCTATAACCATCAAGAACCAGTGAAATTTGAATTCATAACCTTGTTTGCAGTGATTAACATGTATCTAGCTTATCTCTATGAAACCATGTTAATCATCATGAAAAGGACAAACTCTATTAAAGGGTTTTGGAAGGGTCCAGATATACGCTACCTTAACTTCGAAGAGGCTATTTTCTAAATCATCATGATATATATACACACGCACAAAGAATATATAGGTTAGTTACCTAGTGAGGAACTCCGAAATGGGGTGAGCGGAGAAAATTGGAGAGCGGTCGCCATTAGCAATGCGTTGGATATCAGGCTGGAGATCTTCATAAGTGACAACCGGAACTTTGGGCTTAAACTTGTCTCGGTCGGTTGAACCATCAAGTTCAAACAGGCCGAGGTACTCGGTCTTGGCGTTTCGGCTCAATATTTCAGCCAAAACCTTCTCCTGCATCGAGTCTACATTTCTAGTCATCTCTTCAATGAACTGAAGAGCTTTGGCATCCTTCTCACAGGCCGGAAGGCCGAGAGGCGAATCAAGGCCGGAATCAATGCTCATGATTGAAGCTTGAAGAGATAGAAAGAGAAGGCTACTGAAAGATCAAATGGTTTTTGGTGAAGACCAGTGTGGTTTAGCATATGAGAACCAGCATGGTTTATATAGAAAATGACAGAGAGGTTAACTAGGGTTTTGTTTTCTCATTTTTCAACTTTGTTTACTAATTTGCCACGTAATCATTAAACGTGGTGTTTTTTTTTTCTTTTTCTTTACCGATCAGTTTTTGGTGTTGACAAATGAATATTTTTATTTTGGAGGTATCAGGTATGGTGAAGACACGTGGGATCTACAAAACGTCAGCATGGCTTAATAGCAGAGGACAGGTGGTCCCTACACTTGCGAGGTCAGCAAGGTCGCTGATGGGGGCTTTGTTCGTATCTAAATCGAACAGTTCCTTAATTTACATGACCTCTTTGAGGACTCATGGAGACTTTTAACAAGTCAACTAATTAATGTTGTCAATGCTACATACAAGAACAATTAATAAATTGCAAAGCAAATAATAAATTGCGAAGCAAAGAAAAATAGATCAGTTGAGAATTATTAGCTCTAAAAATAATAATACTAATTATATATAATAACAACAATTGTGGTGTAGTTATCAACTGCATGGTAGCATCTAATAATGTAATACTGTAATAATACGCGTCATAAAGGCGATTGTTAACTATCATACTTTTTATTTTTGGAACCTATTCACTGATCTCACTCAGAAAATGGAGAATTAAACGTCATATTCTTGACAGGACGTGACAAACAAACAAGACCAGCTGCACCAAATTTTAGATTGATAAGAACATTGCAAATTTTAGTTTTTTTAGATAATTAATCGCTTTATTAAAAATTACGCAAGAATGCAAGAAAGGAACCCCAAACAAACAAGACCAGCTGCAAAAACAACAGGAGATGCAGCAGCCAAAGAAAAAAACAACACAACAATCAATCGACCATTCCAGAAAGGAAGGTATCTAACTGAGTTCCTATTGAAGCTAGGAGGAGGATAGAAAAGCATTCTAAACCTAACACAAGAATTAATTATAACATGTCTGGAACCCTTTAATTGACCAACCATACCAAAGTGTCCACATTGTATACCAAAAAATTTCCAAATGAATATTACTCCAATTTAATTTCAAGTCATCTAGAGTCTGAACCTGTGAATGCCTCTATCGATTTGGAGCTTATGACCTAAGCAAATGCTTCGGATAGTTCAAGAAACATGTGGACATTCCCCCCCCCCCCCCCCCCCCGGGGCGCGGGCGCATTGTTTGTTGATTAAATTGTGATTTACTCTCTAAATGACCTAAATGAGATGATTAAGTCAATTTGCCCAATTTTTGTAATTGATAAATTTACCCACGAATATAAACAATTTACCATCCACAATCACAAAAACCCCGCGGCGCATTGTTTGTTGATTAAATTGTGATTTACTCTCTAAATGACCTAAATGAGATGATTAAGTCAATTTGCCCAATTTTTGTAATTGATAAATTTACCCACGAATATAAACAATTTACCATCCACAATCACAAAAACTAAATATTGAAAAGAATAGCAAAGTTAGAGAGATGACACCAGAGTTTTAGCAAGGAAACTAATTGGAAAAACTCGAGGTTTTGTTCGCTATTCCAAGCGTAAAAACGATCCACTATGTATGAAACAAAGTATATCGAACTTTGACTCACCCTCACACTCCTTCACTTTACTAAGACTCAATCCGTTGAGCACCTCTGCCTTTTTCGATTTCCCGTCCAACAGCTCTCGACTTTAAACTTATGATTCGAACCTGGTAGAAGGATTGCTGGTAAATCAGCAACACTTTGCAAGTGCCTTGATCCCTTCAAAGTGTGATATTCTTCTTCAAATTTGAATTTTATGTGAAGGTAGATAATTTATACTTCTCGGAATTTCTGAATCTTCAGTTAAGCGCCAATTCCGATGAGATAAATAATAACACTCCCAAATCACTCTTGTGTATATGTGTGTGCTCTCAAAACAAAATCAGAAAACAAAATGTTTGGTTTTCTGAAAAATATCTCTCAAAAGGCACTCTAAGGATATCAAAAATGACCTGGGCCGGGTACGATCCAGATTGCTAAGAGCGGGTTGGGCAAGAACAACCGCTCCTAACCAAGTCTTCACTAGTCAGGCCCAGGACCAAGAAATCAAGTTGGAAGCCCGATTTCAGATAAAAATAATTGAACCCATAATCAAGAAGAGCCCAGAAGAACAGCCCAATGCAAGGAGTTAGTTATGAAGCTTCTAGAAGATCTGTAATAGCTTATAAATAGACTGAAAAAAGAGGGAAAGGGGTTGGAAAGATATTTGAAGTGTAGAATTATTTGTTCTAAATAGAGAGCATATTTCTTGCATCTTCACACTCTCAAAATAATGAATTTTTGTTCCAAAAAGCGTGTATGATTTTGAGTAAAAGAAAGATTACATAGAATTTTGGAACACCTAAAAATAGTTGGAAACCAAGTTAAATTTGTGCATAATCAAAAGAAGTCTACTCAAAATAGGAATCAAAATAGACCAGGAAACAAAGTTACCATAAAGGTCTGAAGGACTTGAACCGATTCAAGTTGGCCAGTAGGTATTTTAAGAAAACGACGTTGAAATTTGAACCGATTCAAGTGGGGCTGAACCGTTTCAAGTTGGCCAGACTTGAACTCTTAGAAATCCTTTAAAAGTTGAACTGGTTCAAGTGGGGCTGAATTGGTTCAAGTTAGGCAGAATGGAAAAATGCTCTAAAAGCCTAATTTTAAACTCTCCAAGTGTCCTCACACACTCACATACTTTACTAAGGCATTGTTCTCATCACCACGGAGTGTATATCACTATGAGCATGATCACTTCTTCAATTCCGCTTCCGATCTTGATTCTTGACACATCGAACTAAAATTTACAACTCGATCGGACTTATTTTTACAACGAAATTCACCAAAATACAAATTTATATTCCACACAGACATATATATATGATATATCAGAAAGTATCAAAACATGTGTACAATAGATTCTAATGTCTATCTTCTAATTACAATATTTTTTTTTCAGTAATTTTCTAATTACAATATTGTACATGAACAACAAATTATATTTTAGCACAAATCATAACTAAAACTAGTACACAAATGGGTGAAAATCACCTCCAGTCAAACAGTGTGCCATTTCCACCATTTTGGAATAAGTGAAGGAGAATTGGTCACATCAATTAAAAATCTTGGGTAACTAAATTTTCACCACTCTTGTATTTTATATATAAGAGCTTTAAATATTGTATTCCATATATATAAACACATTTAAATATTGTATCCAAAATACGTTTGTCTTCTTCCAAAATGTTGTCTTCTTCCTTTCTCTCTCTAAAAGCTTCATTAGCTTCTATTAATGGACTCTCCAAGGACTCACAGTAACTTTTGAACTTCAAAGTTTCACTTTAAAACCCAAACACACTCCAAAAACCCATGTAATTTCACTGGAATATTATGCAGAAACTCCAGAGTATCATCCATACATCTAAGCTTTATTCATGTAAATCTCGATTTTTGATCTGTTTTTTCTTATCTCGTTAAAGAGCACAAATATTACTGGTTCGCACTCTTTTTAGTAGAATTTTATTGGGATTTTACGTATAACATAAGCATGAAATACAGTTAGTACTGATTGGGATACAAAATATGTATTGCTTGGGATGTTAAGTAGGATTATGTTAGGATGTTACGTACAACTTATACTGACTTAATCCTAGTCCGAACATAACATAAAGATATTAAAGGCATTTTGGTATATGGTCATTTTATCAATGGCTTTTTTTTTGTCCCTTTAGGTCAAAGTTTAAGGCTATTATTGTCTTTTAAGACAAGACAGGGTAACTTAGTCATTGTCAACAGATCTAACTGATAGCTAACATGAGGGGCTGTTGAGCAAGCGCCAAAGTTTAAGGGAGGTCACTTATGTAAAATTTACTCGATATAATTTTGTCACGTAAAAGCCTCACCTTTCCAATACAAATACTGTGTCCTAAGAAAACTTAAGGAACATACAATTTGTACAGTGATATTTGCAATCTCTTCTATTTAATCATTTGTATATAAAGCTATTAGTTTATTTATTTATTATTATTATATATATTTTCGAGGTAAGGTATATAAGCATTTATATTCAGGGGCGGAGTTAGGATTTCAATTTTTTTTTTTGGGGGGGGGGGGGGGGGGGTGGGAAAAAAAACCCAACTAACATGACAAATATAAATTTTTTCAAATGAAAAGGCAAACAAAAAAATATAAAAAATAAAATAAATAAAAAAAAGCACAAAATTCTCTTTTGATTCTATTGCAGACGAAGGAGTTTAGAAGAATTAGAACCAAATTCGTGAGTAGCAATGCCTTTTTTCTGGGTGTAATGTAAAGATAGTAAAGTGGAATTGCTTTCCCAATTTCCCCTAAACAAAATGAACGAGATGGTTGATGTTGATCTCTTATGCTTCAAAATGATATTGAATGAGTGGAATGACTGAATCACCCCTCAACATGTGAATTTTTTTTTTTTTTTAGGGGGAGTAATTTGAAATTTTTTTAAATATATATATATAGAATAATATTAAAAAAAAAAAAAAAAAATTCAGAATTTCAAGGGGGGCATGCTCCCTCTGCCCCTGTTTATATTGACATTAAAAGTGAATAAACAATATATGAGACTATAAGGTGCCTTTCATTGAGGCATAATAAAAACGTACAAAAAAGAAAAATTAAAAAAAGTTAATATGATTTGTAGTTGCGGGATTTTAGTACAATAGAGTAGTGCTTTTAACAGAGCTTTTCAAAATGACAATAGTCACAAGCTCTTCATAATTAACCACTGAATTGAACGATATATTTTATAATGCATTCGAATTTTCACAGAATTCAAAAAATTATTCTGATTTATTGATTAAATATGATTTTATTTTATTTTATTTTATTTTATTTTATTTTTTTTTTTTTTGTACTGAGGTAGTTCTCTTAAAAACATTACTAATGATAATTTTTAAACTTTTGAAGTAACATCATTTCAAATAAGTGAGAGATGAAAATTCATTTAAACTTACAAAAGACTGTATATATAATATTTCGTTTGGTTGGAGGGACAGAAAAATAGATGGAAGGGAGAAGGGGAGGGATGGATGATGCATCCTTAGAGAAGAAAAGTTGTTTTCTTCACTTTTTGTTTAGTTGGATAGAACGGATAAGAGAAATGATGGATGAGATGACATTTTTTGTGTTTGTTTGGAAGGAAGGGAAATAAAGTTTTTGTATGTTTTTTTTTTTTTTTTTTAATTTTTTTTATTTACCAATATACCCCTC